TTAGTAAATTTTATTCATAATAAGTTAAAGAAAAGTAACTTTTATATTTATTAAATGAACATTAGTTTATTAATTTTATAAAATTTCTTAAAAGTAGTGTTACTTGATACAAAATTAATTTTTGACAAATATTAAACTAAACATAAGTGACATGGTATTGAACAATGTACAAGGACAATCACTTAGCATCCATCACAACACATACCAGTCTTTTCGCAAGGTGCTTGTTCAGGGTTAGGAACCGGTGCTGCATCCACACCACGTCCCACATTGACCAAGGCAATTACCACCATGACCACCGCAATTGACATAATCAAGGCAAAGAGTTTCATGATTATTTTGACAATGTTTAAAACTTTGAGGACTGAAATTAGGTTTATATAGTTTGTCCAGATGGTTTTTGTGTGCGCAAATGTAATGAATATTAATATATGGCAATGATGTTAACGTGTACAGATACTTTAGTATTATGGCTCATACTACAGTACTATTCCCTTTAATAAAAAATTAAGAATTTAAACGAAAATATTATTTTATTTATAAATTTTGCTATAACACAATAAAATTAAAACTCTAACGACTATGCACGATAACATGCACAATTAATTATAAAATCATTAATTTATCGATTTAACAATTGAATACCCAAAATAACACCCTAATTTAGTATATTATTTATTTATTTTATATATTATCAATTAAAATGTTGTTTATTTAGAGATTTAATACTTTTACAGTTATATTTAATGGTGCTTGCTATCCATAGCACTTTGGGTACCGATGTGGTCAGAGATAATCAGATTAAGGAAAATCAAAATATATAATATTAATAAGTCCCACATTCCCTATGAATTATCAAAATATGAGGCGCCCCCCTAACGGGGGTCTCAAAAACCTTCCTTGTAAGCATATAGCTTTGAAAATAGTACCGTACTCAGATGTTCAGGTACAAATTCAATACAATTTAGGTAATAATTGAAGTTATATATGGTATATATGGTATTAAAGTTTAAGGTATACAAATACTGTATATTTAGCACAAATGAACTAGTTAACATAATCATAGGTAAAAGTATATTTTTAATTTTTAAAAATCTCTACATTTTCTAAATCAAAATATTCTAAAACCCTTTAAAAAGTACACAAAAAGTTACATCAAATCCACACTAATCTCAACCATAGCTCGCATTGGATCGCAAACTCATAAAACATTCAAAAGTATTAAAACAAATACAATTAAAAAACATTCATTTAAATTGTTAATATCCAGGCTCTCACCTCCAGTTCCATAATATGAATATTATTCAGAAACCACTGAACAAAATACAGAGGTTTTACTCATATTTTTATTGGCATTAAAAGAATATTCTTTGGGAAAGGAATTCACAATAAAATCAAATATAAGCGCAAAATAAGTGAAAAATAAATAATAATAAGAATCGATACAAGAATTTGGGATCAAATTAGTAGACAATTTGAAAGGACTTTTGGTTCAATCATCAGAGCATTGGACGAAAGGGACGGTTAGCTCTTGGAGACGGAGGCGAACGTCTCGGAAGTAACGGTGCGAACCCTGGAGGGGAAGGTGTGAACCGGGGAGATGGGGGTCGACTGCCGGACAGTATAGACATCGTCACCGACTGTCTCTCACTCGTCGACTGTGTTTGGATCTGATTCCGGATGAGCACCGGAACCACCGTTTGGGGCGTTTGGGAGCCCTTAGACTGAGGTCCGGGATGCGAACGGCACTGACAGGTGTCCTGAGAGTCACGCCTCCTATTCCTCATGTTTTCCTTGCGATGTCTCCGAGCCTTTAGTTCTTCTTCGGTGTCGACCACCAAAAGACAGGCCAAACATACACCACAACCGCAGCCAAGGATTGCGCCGATTATGAGACCAATGAGTAGTGGAGTGACGATAAGAGTAGTGATCGGGAACTCCATGTCAATGTTGAATACATCGGTCAGCCATCGGTTGTATAGAGTGATGAGGCTTAATCCCCCTGTACAGTACTCTAACATTGTGTACGCATGCCTTGGATGACGCCCCTCCCCCCACCCAGTGCGTACGTACTTATTGAATAAGCCCTAACTTATAATATAACTTAAAATAACTTAAAATACAGGTTTATTATATTGTGGAATACCGGTAAGAGTTTGCATTGAAAATTAAATTCTTAACATTAAAATGTATGATCACGTAATGATTATATGATAATACAATCACATTACTGAATTACTTGCAAATGTTCAAACAGGATCTTGTTAATATTGCAACGTGGCGGGTCTAGCGCGTTGTACACGACCCGGAGTTAACACCTACCTGTAACACCTTAAACTCATACTCACACTCCTGTCCGCCTATACGCGCAACCACTCAGTCGGCACCCGTTTGCGGGGCCACTCCAATGGCCAACGACGCCAGTGTTGCTCGTGTTTATAGGGTTCGAGGGATACTTCACTCACTTATCAAAGTCTTATAATAATAATCATTAGTTAAACAAAAGTCCTATTCCTCGGCTCAACAGGAGTTGTGGGTATTTGTTAGCTCAACGGCGCGAATCCAACCTAAAACCCCGACTGTTAGTCAAACACTCGTATATGCGCTCAGGGAGTAGGGGTTGTGTAACATTCCAAGGGATTCGTGCAGTTTCCCAACCAAACCATGGACTGCTACACTGATTGGACGTATAAAATATGTGAAACTGTTTTGAAATGAAAAAATATTTGAATCTGTTTTACCAAACATCTGATCGCAAACTCACTTCCCATTATTGGCTGACTTCCTTACAAAAGTGTGAACATTGTGTTAACATTAGCTATCATTAAATCAATACAAATACTAATATTACTGTATAGTAAGCATCAAATCATTAATAGTAATTAAATTAAAATTAAATACTAATTATATTTTGATATTTTTTATAGACTTAGTGTCGGATTAGCGAATCAATTGTCGATTGCAGTGAATGAGTGACACAAACAGTGAGTTGTCTTGAAATGAGGACCACTTGGAGGACATCGTTGAACAGCTCAGTTCCGATGTCCTCAAGCCGTGGCCCCACTCCCGGGCCCTAACCTCCAGTTCTTAGTCTATTATATTAGTGTATCGTAAAGTCGCGGCCGGCGCTGAGGTTGATATCGATGAAAACATGCCTGACTATTGAATAACCCGTCACTCCAGAGACCATACCATTACGGGATGTGTCAACAACTGCAGGTATTGCCGACTGCCTGGCCACTGGATCAAAGGCCAACGAACCGAGGTGTTCAGTTGCCTTACATTTGTATCTGATTTATAAAAAAATATCATTTTAAATAAATATTAAAAGCTTTGTGAAAAAAAGATTTGTCTGTTATCTCAAATGATTTTACAAGTTAAGCTACACCTAGTGAGATTATTTTGGACTATAGAATATAAAACACTGCAGTATTTGTTCAATCAGATTGAAATTTTATTTGAAAATTCAACAAATTAAGTACAGTATACAGTAGTGGCTATCGTTTGAATTGAATGTCCCTGTCTTTTATTTGGTTGAATGTACACAATAGAATAGGAAGTTGGGAACCCTTGTCCGACCCGACCCTTAAGGGTTTCGGACGGGAACGGGTTTGAATATTAAGGGCCGGGAAAGGGTTTCCCGCTGTAGAAATCATAATCCTTAAAAAGCCTAAACCCTTAGAAAACCCTTATATTTTTCTAATAGTATTTATATTTCCTCTTAACACGACCCCAAACTGTCGATAAATTATTTTTATGAGATCTAATTACGATTTTGATAAACCTTAAAACATTATATGACTGTAGGTTTAATAAAAGTTCATTTAATGTAAAACTTACCGCAATTTATATAGGTTTATATTTTAAGGGTTTTCGGGTTATCGGGCATAGAGGCCGGGCCGGGTCGGGCTTCCCGTTTGAGGAACACTAAGGGTTTGGGACGGGTTTCAAAAATTGGTCTAACTTTGGAGTCTAGTACACAATATGGTTTATGAATAACTGTAATTACTGTCGAAGCTCTGAGTTGTCAATCTCTCTGTTATGTATCGCTCTATGGTGTGAACTAATCCTGATTTTTTGGCGGATTCCCTATACCTGTAATGTTAAAAACATTCCCTGTTGTCAACTTCTCTGTTGTGTATATCTCTATGCTGTGACACATTTAGCAATATTTAGTGTTATTTTCGGCTCTGAGTTGTGTAAAATGTCACAAAATAATAGTTAAAGTGTAAATTATCTTTTTAAAGAGCATAAGCGACAATATATAAATTATTATCTAATATAATTATAAAGTAAATCTAATATTGAAATAAAAATTATTTCACAAAATAAAGAGATTAGTCAATTATTTTATAATGCATCCTAAGATGGCTATCTCTTTTTTATGAATGAATATTATTTTACAAATTGTGAAATGTTGCTAATTAGTATCTTGATCAATTATCTATTACTATTAATGAGAAATTATATTGTATATAAGATTTTTATTTATTATATCGAAGTAATTTGATGTAAATTTTCTACTAATTCGATTTTAGAAGTTCAATTATTTACTAAGGAAAATCTTAATAAAATTGATAAAATTAGCAAAAATGTCACAGATAGTATGAATGAGTTACTGTACTAGAATTCTTGATTAATTGAAACATAACATCCAACATTCAAACCCCGATTGCCACATATTGGTAAAGTTGGCAATATTCTATTTTGTTGTTGACATTCCCTGTTGTGGACATTCCCTACTGTGTACAGATTTGGTCTGCATTAGGTCATACACAACTCAGAGCTTCGACAGTATAGCTAAATAAGCTGTAATACTGTAATATATTGCTATTACATTGGTCAATTACTTGCAAATGTTCTACTGAATTTGTTTAAACAGGATCTTGTTAATATTTTGTAAACACTTTTTTGAAAAATCATTTAATGTGTGACTTGTAAAAACTGTGTATAAAAAGACATGGATCAAACTATTCAATATTTATAAGTTTTAAATTGAAGTTTAAAATAAAAGTTAATTTATTAAACATCCCGTGAGTTATGATTTTACTGTTGGGATCAGTGTTGGCACCGATTTGTCAGACATACGAGTGGTGTCTCATTGGACTCATTGTGGCGGTGATCGCCTATTACTACATGTAAGCCATACTGTATATTAGATTTAATTAAATTTGAATTAATCTAAAACATAATAATTCGTGAAATTATTCATTCACTCATTGAGTTCGTGGAGGAATGCCTTCAGCTATTGGACGGATCGACACATTTGTGGCCCAAAACCCATCCCTATATTCGGAAATGCTTTGAGTTCGGCGCTAACTCCTCAACCCTTTGTGGAGTTGCAGTGGTATAAGAAATACGGAAAACTGTTTGGGTATATATCGCATGGAAAACAACTCATAAACTATTTTCAAGACCTTTTTGATCCTAACGAATAGGAAGTTCAATATGGGTAAGCCTTGCCTAACAGTGGCCGACCCGGAGCTCATCAAACAAATTCTGGTCAAAGATTTCCATTCATTTCGTAACCGACCGATACGTCCGACGTCTCATATATTGAACGCAAAGAGTATGTTCAGAGCCTGGGATGACGTCTGGAAGCGGGTCCGGGCGATAGCCAGCCCTACCTTTACGTCCGCAAAGTTGAGGGGAATGTATGGTCTTATCAGCCATTGCTGCGAAGCCTTTCTGAATACCTTAGATAAGGATGTGTCGAACGGTATGAATGAAGTCGAGTTGAAGCGATTGATGAGCGCCTACACTATGGATGTGATCGCCAGCTGTGCCTTCGCTACCAAAACCAATACATACGCCGATCCTAACAACCCGTTCACCACTAAAGCCAACAATTTGTTTACTGCTTCCATTTGGAAATGGATGTTAAAATTGCTTTTGCCTTCATTTATAGTAAACACTGATATATACCGCCGAACTTTAAATGCTTCTGACAGCGACTTCTTCGTAGACATCTCCAGAAGTCTAGTACAGCAGCGAAAGAAAAACAATGAAAAACACAACGATTTTCTGCAGCTATTAATGGATGCCGAGAGACCTGAAGGAAACGTACGAGAGGCCAGTGATGCCAATGAAGCACATCATGTGAATGAGGGTAAGGATGAGATGGAAGCCAACGCCGAGGCTCTCAGTGATGTCGTCGAGAAGAAGTTGACTGAAGACGAGATATTAGCGCAATGTTTCCTCTTTTTCGTCGCCGGTTACGAGTCAACCTCCGCTACTCTGTCGTACTGTACGTATGAGTTGGCACTCAATCCGGGACTTCAGGACAGACTCTATGAGGAGACAAAAGAGGCGTTCAATGAAAAGGGAGAAATCGATTACGAAGTGCTGTCGAGACTACCATTCATTGACGCACTTCTGTCCGAAACTCTTCGCAATTATCCGCCAGTACTTCGACTTCAGAGGGAAGCCATGGAAGACGTAACTCTGGGCGACACTGGAGTGAAGATTGAGAAGGGAGTGGCCGTCGAAATCCCTGTCTATGCCATACATCACGACCCCGACCACTATCCGGATCCATTTACCTTCAGCCCGGATAGGTTTATGCCCGAAAACAGGGGTCATATCCAAGCCTACACTTACCTGCCTTTCGGATCGGGTCCACGAAATTGCATTGGAATGCGATTCGCGTTATTGGAGTCAAAGCTCGCGTTAGCGAAGATCTCACATTCGTTCCGCTTCTCCAGAGTCACCGACACTGACGTCCCCGTAGTCTTCAATAAGGGGCGGGTCCTCTGTCAAGCAAAACGACTTGTTGTGGGCATTCAAAAGCGATAGGCAAAACATATTGGAATTAATTTGAAAAATTTTTATAGAAATTAAATCATTGATCAAATTGGTCAAAATCAGCTCGTTGTGGAACCTATGTAGCCCTCAATAGGATTTAGATTTTAATCTAGATAAAATATACTGTATTTCATTAAAAATTCGTTTTAATTTACAAAACATGTAATTTAAACAACAAATTTAATTAAACAATGGTATGAATTGGGTTGAGGTGTCATTCATAAAGTACGTACAGTGAGTCATTAACATTGACGATTAGGTGGGGGACATAGTTTTCACCATTCTCCATCAATTCTGCACAACCCAACCCATCTTAGCCAGCTCGCATATATCTATTCTGATTTATACAACACATATAAACCATACAATATACAATATTCCAAACGTGAACAACTTTCATTAGTAATTGCTAGATTATGAATTAAATTATCCCAATAGTTAACTAAATTTAGTTAATTAATCATTAAATTAACTAAATTTGAAATAAGTAAACAAATTTTGTTTACAATTTAGTCAATTTTAATCAACATCTCTATAATATACTAACTTTTACTTTATAATTAAAGCTAAATATGCAAGATTAAACTAAAAATATGCAAAATTTTCTTGAAACAATTCTCATTACAATTTCAATCTAAAAACATTGTAAAACAATTAAGCAAGTTTCTAAACAAATTATTTAAATTATATTTATTCAAAAATTAATAAACCATTACAATTAATTAATCTGTAGTAATCTTTTACTTAACACCCTACCCCTCCCTCTCCCCTCCAAGTACATACTTTTGAATGACGCTTTAACAAAAAATGAATGAAAGAATGAATGAATTTATTTAATTTGTTTTATAATTGCTTCCGTAGGGAATCTTTACATGATATCGTATGAAGAGTTGCATTCATTAGGTTCGGGAGCTTTTGGGCAAGTATTTGTTGTTAAACGTAAATATGATGGCAACCTATTTGCGGTCAAGAAACTACGATACCAAAGTAATTTAATGACCTTTTAATATATGAGTATAGCTATTACATTATTAATATGTTTTATACTCTTTTTAAATCGTCAAAACTTGTCGAAATGTTTTATAAAATTTTGAATAACTTATAATTATTAAAATTAATACACTTACAGCTCATGACCACTTATGGGAATGTATGCAAGAAATGCAAAAATTGATAAAAGTTAGGTCAGAATATTGTGTCCAATATACGAATCAATTTCATGAAGACAATGCGTATTACATTGAAATGGAGTTGTGTTCCCATAGTCTGCAGAATATTCTTCAACACAAACCACAAGTATTTGGTCGACAACCGGAAGAACCCATGAATTCAATCGAATTTTACATTTCGTGTCATATATTCAAAGAGATCTCAGAATGTGTTCAGTATTTACATGAATTGAATCCACAGATCATCCACAGAGATCTCAAACCCGACAATATATTGATTGCACGAAAAGTTAGGAACGGTAGGTTTGTGAAGTTAGGTGACTTTGGGTTGGCATCATTTCACTACAGTTCGTTTGGAAGTCATACCACAGGAGTGGGAACTCGTCAATACATGGCACCGGAAGTTAAATTGCAAACTAAATACACGACTAAAGCGGATATTTATAGCCTAGCAATCATTGCACACAAATTATTTAATTTTAATGAGTTTAAGTAATGATTTTGATGTTTAGTTTATTGACATAATTCATTAAAATGTGTGAATTCTTGATTACAGTTCTCCGGAATTGAGTATTTACTCGGGATATGAAATATACGACAAACTCATTAAATTGGATCAAATCATAGACTCGATGTGTGTTGCGATTCATAGCACTCGACCCGAGTGTTCACAAGTATTATCAGAATATAATGAGTGGTCTATTCAAATGAATTGTCTCATAACTGATCCCACATTTGATTCCACAATAGATTTCATTCAACAAAATGATTACAAGTTTTTTGTGGAATATTTGTATGAAAAACTTGGATCAGAAATCTGGTGATCAACTCATACCTTATTTATCACTTATTCATAGCTTTGTAACCGTAAAGAATTAATACAATGCCTAAATTATTTATTATAAAATTATTTACGGTTTTAACTGTTATTTGGTAACTTGTAACTAATTAATAAGTTTATTAATTTTATTAAATTCTCAGATCGTATTGTTTTTGGAGTCGCCATCGATTGTGTCCACCGTTTTCCGTACCGCCCGGACGGTCACTGTCTTAGGCCTAACAGCGAAGTAGTCCTTCCCTTCAGTAACCGCTTGGAGTCGTCGTTGAGAAGTACGAGAAGTGGCTCAACACCAGGACGTCGTTGTTGTCGATCAGTATCCTCTTCCTAAGCGACTGCCACTCCGTAAGAATCGATACTTCGCTCGTCATGTCTTCCATCCGCAAAATTGTCGTTAATTGGGATTTAGAGGTATTTTTGGCGCCGATTCTGATCATCAGTAATGAGTTATATATAGACAGCGAATGTAGAGAAACAGAGGTTTCGGTATTAAATGGGTTTTGTGTCCAGACTTTGAATATTTTGAATAAATGAAAGCCGAACTCATTCGCCGACTCTTTCATGAATTTTGGGCTCATTTTTGTGGATCAGTTCACACAAGATATCAGACGTATGGGGAAAATATTAAAACTTTTGTTTTATATCTCAATGTTTAGATTGAACTTAATTTCATTCCTTTAGATTCAAATGATTTATGGGTTTCGTTGAGAACTTTTGCTTATTTATAGAATATTCTGTAATTATTCTGAAATTAAGGCAAAAATGAGAAGTTTTTCAGTTTTTAAGACCGTTACCGAATTCCTCCGATGTTTATAAAACATATTTTGCATTTATGTGGGTTATATTTTTGCTAATTATAAAATTACAGTTTTCATAAATATAATCATAAAATTTGATTTATAGAATAATTTGACCATGACTAATAGCATCGATATTTGCAGTGTTAATGAAATTACAGTTTTGAAAATAAATGAATTAATTGACACGAAAATAATGTAAATAAACATGGTATATATGGTATTAAAGTTTAAGGTATACAAATACTGTATATTTAGCACAAATGAACTAGTTAACATAATTACAAGTAAAAGTGTATTTATAGGAACACTGTCATAATACAATACAGAATTTTCTAAGATGGCACTCAGGATTTTTTGATTGGATATGAAAGTCCATTCAATGCTGAGTCAGAATATGTAATTTATATTGTCCTGTGACCTCTGGTTCGACCGCAGTGACCATCTTAATCGGGAAATTTTTTATATAAAATGTCAACATGTGATATATCAA